ACGCTGTCTGTGGAGACATTGTCCTGACCACACAAAGGGGACGGGGCAGTGGCTGGGTGGGGGAGGGGCTGGGGCTCGTGGGAACTGCCCTTCCAGGGCCCTGGGGGCGGGGGGGCAAGGGGCAAGGGGGCAGGGGCGAGGCCTCTCCAGGGCTGCCATCCTCAGTCACAGGCTCGACACTCCCGGGACATTAGGGCGGGGGTCACCGAGGGGGTGGTTACCAGCTTGCTTCAAGGGGATGGACTGGGTTTTAAAAGCTTCCCAAAAGACGGCCGCTATCCCCGGCTGCACACACCTCCCCAGGGGCCTGGGGCTCGGCCTTCCGTCCACCCCAGCGCTGTCTCCAGTGGAAAGTCAGTGCCGGGGCTGGCCAGGTTCTTTTGGTGAGCTCACAGCTCCCTTCTCTCTGAGGAGGCTCACAGGGCCACAGCAGGGGACAGTGTCGGGTCACCTTTGGGGCGGGCAGCCCAGGGCTGCAAGGCACTCTGGGGACAGCGTGGGAAGATGAGGTGTGGGCCAGACCCAGGCCTCAGCGGGCAGGTTGGCGCCTGATTGCTTCTTCCTGGGTCGCTGGCTCGCCCTGTCCAGCAAGGTGTCAGGCCCACACCCCAGGCCCCACCATCTGTTGGGCAGCTCTAGGGGAGGTCAGAGTGCACAGCTGACCTGGGGGCCTCAGGACCCGCCCAGGGGCTTGCCAGGGACCAAATGTGCAACGTCCACCCTGGGACGGCACACTGGAGACCCCCACCAGCACCCCTCTTCCCGATGTGGGGATCTCAGCACACAGCCCTTGCCATGCAGAGGCCTGTCCAGGGAAGGTGCTGGGTGCCCTTCCGCGTGGCAGGTAGTGGGACGGAGTGAGATTTTATCTTTGCTCTTTCATGCCTTGCCATTTGCCCAGTTCTAAATGAGCAGAAATGTCCTGTTGCTTCAGAGTGTGCTCCTGCACCCCCATCGCCCTGCCTGGTGGCCTTAGGCCTTGACTCCTCCTGGACCTGCCTGCAGGGTTGGAAATCCCAGGTTGGCATCTCCTGCAGGAGTTCCACCCAGGCCAGGCCCCAGCCCGACGGACCCCACCTCTCACACCCACCATGGGGCCCAGAGGGAGGAGCGCAGGAAACAGGCCAGGGCTGAGGTTACAACAAGCTTGCTCTTTGCTCAGAAACAGGAGGCCCCAAAGAGGCCCCTGCCACCCTCACCCCCTCACCTCACCTTCTCAGGGGGTCAGTGTCTAGCTGGGCTTGGGCACAGAGCAGAAACCCCTCAGGTCAGATCACCCGAGGACCTGGGATCATTCCCAGCCTGGTGGTGGAACCTGAGCTCCACTGGGCCGGGAGAACAGGGGCTGTGGGAATCCCCAGGGTGGCCAGCATGCAGGACGGATGCTCAGGTCACCTCGGCCCAGGCCCAGCAGACATCCGGCCCAGTCTCTTGGAGGAGCAGAGCTCCCTTCCCAGGCTCCCAACCCAACAGGCCACTGCCTGCTGCCCTGCACCCCAGGACACGGGTTCCCCACATGCTCTGGCCCTGGCAGGTCCCGGGCTCATGTCTTGCCTGCCTCTTTCCCTCAACCCCCCACTTGTCAAGACCCAAGACCTCAGGGATATGTGGGGCCAGGGGTGTTGTGTGCAGGGGTTATGTGCAGCTGCCGAGCCCTGTCTGCCTGGGAGCGCCCAGTCCTCCCTCACCACACCTGTGCCCCAGCCACCGATTGCTTGGGATGCATAGGCTGGCACACGTGCAGGCCTGCAGCCTGGGGCAGTGGGTGTGACCCCGTACCCAAGTGGGCACCAGGACAGGTGGGCACCCGGTCAGGTGGGCACACAGACACTGCTGAAGGCACCTTCTGTGGCCCAGCTCTGGCTCCTTCAGCTATGGTCACTCCCTTGGTAGTGGGGCTGGGAATTGGGCCCACTCGTGGCTGTGGCTCCCAGCTTTGATGCTCAAAGCCCCCAAACCCTGGGAACAGACCCTCCTACCTGCCCACCCCACCCGTAACACATCTTGGCCTCTGCCTTGGTCCTGGGTGCGCATCCCCAGACGGCCAGCTCTGGGGCAGTGACTGACCAGCTCTTTCCCTCACTCCTCCTTGGGCCTGGAGAGGAGAGGGCCCTGGAGGGTGGACATCCACTCAGACCCACCTGGCTGTGGGTCCATAGGCCTCAACATTCCCAGGACAGCCTGGCTGGTGGCCCGGTCCCCAGGAGGCAGCCACACGCCCACAGGCTCATGGCCCGGCCCGCACGTTCCCGGGCGGAAGTGCCCTGTGTCAGGGCTGGTACAGCGCTGTTGGCACCCAGTGGCTGAGGAGCGTGGGAACCAGGCACACGGGGGATCCTGGGCAGGTAGCTGGGAGCCTTCCCAGCCAGTCCTGCCCCCCATTCGCCTGGGCCCTCCCACCCCTCCCTCCCAGTGAGGTTCTGGGGGCGGCGGCTGCCTGCCCTTGGGCTCTCAGACTGGGGGGAGGGGTGGAGGTGCGCAGGCGCCCCGCTGTGCTGCTCTGGGCCCCCAGCCTTGGCCTCTGCTCAGGGTCCTTGTCAGGCCCCACTCGTCTCTGCCCAGATCTAACGGCACCCTGGAGTGGGCCTCTGTGTGTCCCACACTGATGGAGGGAGGTGGCGTGAGAACCTTGGCATGGGGTCCTGGCCCGCCAAGTGCCCTGCGACTGAGGAAGCCCTCAGAAGCCCCTTTTCTTCAAAATGGGAGGGCAGAGGCTCTCAGAGCCCGAGTGCTGGGGGACGGGTCTCAGGGTATCAGTTAGGTGGTCTCAGGTGGACAATCACCGTTTGAAGGCCAGACGTGTGCTGGGCCACCAGCCCCACTCACAAGGGCAGAGCCATAGCCTCCCTCAGCCCATGGCAGCCACCCGCCCAGGGCAGTCAGTCCAGCAAGGGCTGCTGGCCCTGGAGTGGACAGATGGACAGGGAGGCCCTCAGTGCCAGGCCCCCCTGTGGCTGGGGAGCCCAGGGCCAAGGGCGGGCGCAGCAAGCGGGCCCAGAACCGGCTTTTCCAGCCCTGGCCGGGGCAGGGCCTCCCAGGGCCTTGTGGGTGACAACAAGGCCCACAGCGGGCAGCAGCCGTGGGAAAACCAGCACCGGTGGTTCCCGAGGGTTGGGCCAGGCCCTCACTGACGGCACCCGGTGACTCAGCACGAGCTGGCTGGCCACGCCCAGGCGTGCGCACCTGGCCTAGGTCCTGGGAAGGCCCCAGACCCCATGTGGAGGACTTGGGGGCGTGGGGAGCCCATGCTGCACCCTCGCTGCCCCTCCCACACCCACTGGCACTGTCCCTGCAGGTGGCCTGCACAGTGCAGAGTGGGACTCTGTGGAGGGCAGACCACCTGCTTGTTCTCAGCGCTTCCCAACCAGACCTGCAACCAGGGCTCTCCACCTGCACACCTGCCCAGGAAGCCCGCTGGACCCAGATCTGGGCTGGGCCCAGAGACCGGGTTACAGGACCTGCCATCATGGCACAAGGAGCTTCCTGGTGGGAGAGATGGGAGCTAGGGGAAGAGGAAGGGAAGGTCCTGTCTCCCTAGCCCAGCCTGGGTCTCCTAGCAGAAGAGCCCCACCTGTCCACCACCTCCAGCCTCCGGCCTCTGAACTGGTGGGAGCTACAATGCTGGAAGCAGGTAGTGCAGCCTCCTACTGTCGAAAGGCCCAGGGGAAGACAGCATGTGGGACAGGGCCAGTGCCCCCAACATGGCCACACCCAGAGGCTCCAGGGGCCTCGAGGCCACCTGCCTGCGGCAGCCATGTCATCCGGGGCTCACCCAAAGCCCCTGCATGGGGAGGAGTCCTGGAATAGCCATGTGACCATGGATCTCGGCCTCCTCTTCCCTGCTCCCCCGTACAGGTGGCCTGGGAGCCCCACCTCCTCCCCAGGGTGCTCTGACATCAGAAGGGCTGTGATGGGAAGGCCACACCTTCACAGGACCTGCGGGTGCCTGCCTGGGACCTGGCTCCCAGTGGGCACCCAGCCCCCTCCTGGTGTTGCCTGGGGAGTCCTGGGGATTCAACCCGTCTCCTTGTCCAGGAAGTGACCACTGGGAAGGCGGTGCATCCCCCTCCAAGTCATGACTCGGGGTGTAAGCTGGTCCCGGCCTCCCTGCCCCGCCCCCAGCATCACAGTAAGCCTGGCAGGTTGGTCATACTCAGAAACCACCCGGAGGGGCTGGGTGTGGCACACACCTGGAATCCTAGCACTTTGGGAAAGCCAGGATGGTGGATCACTTGAGCCCAGGAGTTCAAGACCAGCCTGGGCAATACAGTGAGACCTCATCTCTACAAAACATACAAAAGTTAGCTGAGTATGGTGGTGTGCTACTCAGGAGGCTGATGTGGGAGGCTCATTTGAGCCCTGGAGTTTCTGGCTGCAGTGAGCTGTGATTGTGCCACACCACCCCCGCCCGGGGGGAAGGGAACCCCCCTCTAAAAAAAAAAAAAAAAAAAAACGGTACAGGCACGGGGGCCCGTTGTATGCCCTGGACAAGGCACAAAGTAGTTTTGCTCTAGCTCCCCGCCACTTTCAGGGCCACACCCGCCCCAAGGCAGTGGCAGGCACAGGTATCAGAAAAATGTGGATTCGGAAATGGACAGGTCAAGGGTTGGGGCAACTATGAGGCTGCCCACGCTGACCCTTTAAGGCTGGACCATGTGTCCAACACCCCAGCTGAGGTGGCCCGGAGGGGACCCAGGCCTGGTTCTGCCCTCGAGGGTTCTGGGATTGGAGAGGGTAGCTAGGCAGAGAGTTCCACAAGTTCTCAAAAAACAGAAGAGGCTTCCCAGGGCCCACGAGAAGCCAGCGCAGTCAGGGAGGGCTTCCAGGAGGCGGTGTGGCCTGAACCCCACAGGACTATGCGTGGGGACAAGAGGGGACCCAATATCTGTCTCTGTGAAACCCCATGGCCAGACCCAGAGCTTCGAGGAACAAGCACAGGGCTGGGGTAGGGGCACCTGGAGAAGCCCCGCCTGGGCCTCAGCACCCCCTCTGGCCCCCAGGCCTGCAACTGTGACCAGTACCTGAAGGTCTCCAGGGACATGATGAAGCAGCTAGTGTGGCTCAGCGGCCACGAGGGGCCCAGGAGCTCAGGTGAGTGCATCAGGGTCAGGCACTGGGTCTGTGGGGCCTGGGATGGGTTGACTTGCTGGGGTAGCCAGGGAAGGGGGCCTGTCCTGTCCAGCACTGAGCTTTCTCAGATAAGGGTGGCGGCCAGGTGACAACAGGTGGAAAAAGCACAGCAAGGGTCAGGTGCCCACATGGCCTCTGCTCCCTTCTGTGCGGTGGCAGACCAGGAAATCAGAACACCAGGGCCCTCGGCGACCCTCTGGAGTGGTGTGCACCTCCTTCTCTCTGCTGGGCCCAGGCACGCAGTGCGCGCGCACGCACACACACACACGCACACACACACGTGCAGCAGCCCATTTCCCTGCCTGTGAAACTAGACAGAGGGCTTCTTTCTCTCCCTGTGGAGGGTGCAGGCCACCCAAGGACTTTGCAGTTTTAGATCTGCACCAGGGCTGGAACTATGGCCCGCCGCCCCGCACTGTTAGAACTGCCGGCCCCCACCCTCGGGAGGGAGGCGCCCCAGGGAGGGAGTGGAGGGTGCTGCTCCTGGTCATCCTCAGTCGGGGGCGGGCACAGGAACTAAGGGAATGGAGGTGGATAGAAAGGGGTCAGTCCAGGGCGGGTGCGGTGGCTCACGCCTGTAATCCCAGCACTTTGGGAGGCCAAGGTGGGCAGATCACGAGGTCAGGAGATCGAGACCATCCTGGCTAACACAGTGAAGCCCCGTCTCTACTAAAAATACAAAAAAATTAGCTGGGCGAGGTGGCGGACGCCTGTAGTCCCCGGTACTCGGTACTCGGGAGGCTGAGGCAGGAGAATGGCGTGAACCCGGGAGGCGGAGCTTGCAGTGAGCTGAGATCGCACCACTGACTCCAACCTGGCGACAGAGCGAGACTCCGTCTCAAAAAAAAAAAAAAAAAAAAAAAAAGGGTCAGTCCAAGTTCAGGGTAGGAGGACGGGGAGCAACCAACTGTCACCCCAGGCAGCCAGCAGAGCACACCCCGGAGAGTGAGGCCAGAGGTAGCCTCCAACCTCAGGCCCCGATGCTCGCAAAGGCACACTCAGGCCAGAGCCCCAGCACATGACGGCACACACGCTGCCCCAGGGTGGTGGGCAACACCCGGATGGGCTGACAAGTGTCACACGGACTGTGGGGTAAGAGCTGGGGCCAGCCAGGGAGGGTGAGGCAGGGAGGCCAGAGGAGGGTCATGGCCTCCTGGGCTTCAAGGAGGAGCTGGGGCTGGGGTGGGGGCCTCGTGCATTCATCCCCGGCTGTAGCTGATCCGGAGCCATCTGTAGAGAAATGCTTGCTGAGCAAATTACGAGGGTCAACAGGAGCAGGGCAGACGCTTCTCCCACCTGCTGGCCAGTGTTCCCTCGGCCATCGTGCACTCAGCCCTGTGGTGACCCCTGGGTGGATACCGGCCCTGCCTACCCTGGGATCTCACTGGGGACTGGGGGGCCTCACAGGGCCAGCGTGAGCCGCTTCCCAGGGTCTCCAACAGACCCTGAGCCTGGCAGTCCCTGGGCCCTGCCCACCCGCCCGCCCTTGCGCTGGCTGATTTCGAAATTCACCACTGGCAGTGGGTTTATCTGCTCATCGCTGCCCCCGCCCCCGCCCGCCGGTTCTCAGGCCCCCAAGAGCCCTAATCAGCAGATCTCGCGCCTAGAACATGTTTCCCAGGGACCTTTGAGCCCCAAGACCTTTCTGAGGTGTGAGTTCCCAAGGGAGGGGACCAGGCCGGTACCACAGCTCCTTGGCCCCCTGCCCTCTGCCGTCTTCGAAGGCTGGGGTGTGCGTGAAGAGGCCGCACACCATGAGGTCACTGTGCTCAGCCATATGGCTGCGTCGTGGACCCTGGTGGCTGCCAAGCCCCATCCCTAGGACAGTCCCAGACCAGTTCTCATCTTGACTGACAGGTGACAAGGCCACCCAGAGCCAGGAGGTGCAGGAGCCAGGTGAGCCCCGGGACCGCCCACCAAGGACACAGCTGCTTCTCCACAGACCCGACTTGCCCCAGAATAGGGGACTTGGGTCCCGGCTGGACAAAGGGGGCTCTCTGGGGGCTCTGTGGGGCTCTTGGGGGCCCTAGGGCCCACAAGGTGAGGGGTGGGGTCCCTCGATAGGAGAAGTAGGCACAGAGGAGGAAGTGGAGGAGGCAAGGTCAGCAGATAGGTAGCAAGAGGAGCTGCTGAGGAGTGAGCATGGGCTCAGCGTGGGCCGCCAACTGGGCCACCCTGGGAGCAGCTTGGGGGCCGTGCCCGAAGGCTGAGGGCTCAGGGAGTCCACTTCTATCTGTCCAGGCCCAGCCCCAGAGGCAGCCCCTGGGAGCTGCACCTATGACCGTCCCTGCCGCTGGCTGCAGGCGGCTGACCTGCGGGCGGAGACACCCGACATGCTGACCAATGGCACCCAGCTGCAGCTGGCAGGGGTCCCGGTGGGCGTGCTGAGGACCCCCGGCCTGCGGCACTTCTACTGCTGCACGCGCTGTGGAAAGGTCTTCTGGGATGGCTCCCACCTGGATCGTGTAGCCACCCACTTCCGAGACGTCCTGGAGAGCACCCCCAGCCCCTGTGAGCCGAGCCCAGCCCCCAGCCCGGCCAGCAGTCCCTTCTGAGGACAACCAGACAATAAACATGGAAAGTGCCCGACTGCTGGGGCCACGGCCGTGGACTTGCTCACATGTTTCATGCTCGCCCCACAAACCCCTCGTGGGCCCCTCTTTGTGCCAGCAAGCGCCGGGAACACCGAGGCGGGGTCCCAACCCGAGCAGCTGTCGGAAGAAGACGAGGGTTTCCAGATGGCCAGGATGCTGGGACCTCTAACCCAGTGGGACCCACAAGGTCTCTCCATCACCCCCGTCAGGGCTGTGTGGTCCCTGTGGGAGAGTGGCAGCCACAGCCCCACTAGAGGCACCTGGGCAGCCAGCCACGGCCAGGGCTCCGCATGCGTGGGCACCAACGTCTCCGTCCTCACAGCTGTCTGAACACAGCTGCTGCTGCCCTTGTCTGGGAGAAGGCTGAGGCCCAGGCAGCCACTGCTGCCCACCCTGAGGGTCCGAGGGTGCTCTGCCAAGTGGAGCAGGGAGGGCAGGGGGTCCCAGAGGTGGGAGAGGAGGATGAGCCCAGGGAGGGGCCATCCCAGGAATGTGCCCCCTCCCGTCACCCACATCCCTTTCCTCTGCTTCCTGCCTGGAGCGGAAATCAGCTCAGATTTGGCCGAGGAGTTGGGCGGAAGCCTCGGGCAGCAGGGTCCTGGGGGCTGGGGAGAAGTAGCCGCCTCTGCCCAGAGTAAGGAGCAGGCTTCGGGTGCGAAGGCCTTGGGCATCCCTGGACTGGCCCAGCCAGGACCTCCCTGTGGGTTCCCGGCCACACCAGGGCTGGCCACTGCCCCTGGGTACCCCTAGGGACTGCAGCCCAGCCCCTTCAGCCCCCAGCAACCCCGGCAGGGGTGTCATTTCACAGATGGGGAGGGTGAGGCTGAGACGGGGAGGGCCTGGCCTGTGTCAGAGCCAACTGTCCGGTTTTGACCTGCCCCCTTGACCTGTTGGGCAGCTGCAGGGCCTGAGCCTGTCAGGTGGGGGCATCAGGGTGAGCAGAGCAGGACCCCAGGAAAGGGTCAGGGCCTTCTGGGACTGGGATCTGCTTCTGGGAGGGGCACCCCAGCTCCACATCCTGTCCTGAGGAGGCAGCCCCTGGCAGGGTTTAAGAGGGAGTGGCTGAGGGCACCCACCCTCCACCCGGCCTGGCTGCATCCTGGAGACACTGCTCCCAACGCAGGCCTGAGTGCTGCTGTTGGCTCTCGGCAGAGGCAGGCAAAGCGGTGCAGAGGCCGCAAGGAGACAGAAACCACGCATCCTCCGTCCTTCCTGGCTGGCTCTGCCTCTGCCCACCATGGCCGTGCTGCGCCATATGCTTCCGCCTCCACACGTCCCTCACTACCCAGCACAGGCTCGGCCTGGTTCTGCGGCGTCCATCCCAGACCCAGGCTTTGGTGAGGGTGAGGCTGTCTGCTCAGTCCCCACCCCAGGCCAGGTGCTGGAATCCAGCCTCAGTCACTGGGGGTCAGCACCCATCAGGCTGCTTCCTGGGCTAGGGGATAGACACCAGGCTGACCGGCTGGCTGAGGCTGCCAGTGCCAGGCCATGCCCTGAGCGGCCATCCTGGTGGGCAGGAGCCACCGGTTGCAGGGATTGTCTGTGGCAGTTCCTGCCCGGGCGTCCTTCCTCCACTGCGGCCTGTGCTGGCCCAGGCTGAGTGTTTGTTATTTGATCTCGATCCTCTCAGCCCTTCTACCAGGTGTCTGGGCTGCTGGGAAGAAACACTCTCCTCTTTCCCACGCTCCCGACACATTTTAATGAATTAGCTGGAAGCCCCGCCCCCACTGCCCGCCACCCTCCCTCCCCGCTCAGAGCCTTTAAGGTGGCCGCAGGCCTCGGCCCAGCTCTGGCCAGCTGCCCCTTCTGCGCTGTCCTCCCTAGGCCCTCCCAGGCGGGCTGGCCGCCCCGCACGGACCTCCCTCCCCATGTTGCCCACTGCTCTGAGCCTCCAGGGAAGGAAAGGAAGGGGGTGCCTGCAGGGAGAAGGGGCCCCACTGTTGCCTTCTGGGGGCGGGTGGGTTACAGGCAGGGCACCCCCGGGCCAGTATCCTCAGGACAGGCAGGGGAGGAAGGACAGGGCCCAGCTGCACAGTCGGAGCTGAGCCCTGTCGCTGGGTCCCAGGGCAGGGCCTCCCAGACAGCAGAAGGCTCCAAGCAACACCAGCAAACACCAGGGGTCCTCTCGAGCACAAGCATTGGGTGGCTGGAGGTGGACCCCCATGTCCCAGCATTTGGAACAGATGTCCACCTTTTGGATGTCCCTCAGCAAACATTCGGGAAGTGCTGACTCGGAGCTGTTGCCCCCCGGCCCCTCCCCCCTTCCCATCCTCAAATGGAGCCGCTTCAGGGCCGTGGGTGTGGCCAGGGGAGCTCGGAGTCACTGTGGAGAAGCAAGAACCAGGGCCACTCAGCGAACTCCCTGTGGGCAGTGTGGTGTGGCTGGCCTCTGAGCCCCACAGATGAGCCTGGGCACCCACCTTGGGCCACAGACACACTGCAGTGGCGGACCTCACCACCTCTGCCTGACCCGGCTCCTGCCGCGCAGGGCCACCACACCAGCCACACTGTCCCTGCGCCGCCCGGCCCTCGCCAGCGGCCGCCGCCGATTTCACGCCCGTGGCGAGGCCCCGCGTTCCCACACCGAGCTCACACAGGGCCCCTTTGTTTGCCGCCGCCACGGATGTCGACGGGACTTTCTCCCAGGCCCTGCTCCTGGCCCACAGCATAGCCAAATGCCTTCTCCAGGCCCGGCTTGAGCCCACCTGGGCTTCGGCCTGTTTGCAAACCACCCACCTTCCAGGGGAGGCCCTGTGCCCACTGAGTGCCAAGGGCTCCGCCCACCCCCAGTCATGCCCTCTGTCTCTTGCCAGTCTAGCCTGGCTGGACCCTGGGCAGATGCACAAAACCCATCACTGCACAGGACTGAGCTCCTGTCCTTCTGACCGTGAGCTCAGAGCGCCCTGCACACCCAGCCCTGGTCTGAGGTCCAGAGACGCAACCAGCACCAAGGACCAGCAGGCAGCCCAGCGGCTACCCCTCCTCAAGAGGCCAAAAGTGCCCAGCAGAGCATGGCAGTCTGGGCCGTGCCATCTCTGCCCCAGGCCTGGGCTCCACAGTGTCCATCTCTGTTCTGCTGGGGACCTACTCCGGGACTCCACTATGACCCCACCTGCACATTGGGGAGCACCCTCCCACCCTCTGTGGCCCCCTTAAGAGCTCCTGGGAGAAGCAGTGAGGCCCAGGGGAGAGGGCTGAGCAGAACCAGCGGCCCCAGGAAGACCAGAGTGAGCTCTAAGCTGTGCCTTGGAGGGACAGAGGTTCCCAGGCCACCAGGAGGTCCCCAGGGGCGCAGGACATTGCTCCAGTCAGCCAGGGTCGGTCCGAAGCGGGCCTGCCCAGTTTTTCCTGCCAGTGTAAGCACAGCATGGGGTGGGGACACACCCCTGTGGGGAGCCGGATGTGGGGGCATGGGGCTGGCGGGCGGAGCGTCCCCAGACAAGGCCTGGCAGGGGGGTCTCCCCAGCCCGAGCTCAGAGCTGCCTGCGCGGAATTCCCGGTTTGGCTTCAGAAGGAATTCAAGCCCCGGCCTGCCTGGCCTCCTGCTCCGCGCCTGAGAATCACTCCTCCTTAATTTCCAGCGACCACAGCGAGCTGTAAACTGTAAAACTCTAATGAGGAAATGCGCTGTGCTTCCCCTGCTGGTGCCTCCCGGTCAATTGTTAGAATGGTCAATAAAAATGGGTTTTATAGTTTGGAAGCCAGGCGTTTCAGAATTCCCTTTTGGGACAGCCCTGGCGCCACACCTGGCCCTGCTCACCTGGGCAGGACCCATGTGTCCGGCATGCTGGTGGGTGGGCAGCAGAGGGAGGCAGGCCGCCGTCCCGACCCTCCCGTTGCGCCCCCGCCCTGGGCTTCCTCCTGAGAGGACAGCGGAACCCCCTTCACCGGCAGCCGATGGAAGGCGCGGTGGCCGGCCGGAGGCCCCTCGCATCAGTACGGTTGGGGCACACATAGGTTGTGCTGGCGGCCATGAGGCTGCCCGCGCGCGGGAAGAACCCGCGTGGCTGAGGGCCCCATGTCAGGGCCTGGAGTTGCCACCCGCGTGGACGGTGAGCCCGGAGGCGCAGGCTGGCCGGGGTCGCCGCGCGCCTCTCCGCTCAGAGGGGTCTCTCCCTCACCACGGGCCTGAGATGCCCGCGAACCCCCTACCCGAGAGAGGCCGCCCTCGGGGCCACCTGGCGGTCGCGCTCGGGTACCGGGCAAGGCCTGGGTCTGGCTGCGCAGGGAGCTTGGAATTCCCCGGGTGGCCGGAGGGAGAAGGGGCGGGACGACCGCGGAGAGACGCTGAGCGCCCGGGGGGCGCGCGGACGGAGGCAGCGACGGAGCTGGGCCCCCCCCGGCGGCCACCTGGCCTCCCCCGCCCCGGCGCTGCCGGCGACCAGCGCCCCCTGCCGCGAAGCGCGCCGCCGCCGGGACCCGCCCCCGGACCCCCGCGCCCGGCACCGCCCACGCCCCGCCCCCACGTGGGCGCGGCCCAATCCCAGGGCCGCCGGCGCGCGCGTCACGGGCTGCCATTGTTATGCAAATATAAAGAAGGTAAAAGGCGCCCCGGCGCGGCGGGCGAGCGAGTGCTGCGGCGCGTGGGGAGGCGCCTGGGAGCCGCGTGGGAGCCGCAGCCGAACCGAGCAGGGACCGGGACCGCGCGGCGCCGCCGTCCCCGGCCGGGCCCGGCCCCCGCGAGCCGAGCGCGCGCCCCCGTCGCCCACCCGGGCGCGGCTGAATGCGGCGGGGTCCCCGCGGCGGCGACCCCCGGCCCCGAGCGCCCGGAGCGCCCAGAGGCGGCGTGCGGGGCCCGGGGACGCCGCGCCCTCCATGCGCCGAGGCGCGCCCCGAGACAGCCGGGAGTCCGCGCCGCAGCCGCCGCCCGCGCTGAGCCCCGGCCCGGCCCGCGGCCCGCGCCCGGCGGCAGCATGAGCCAGGCCGAGCTGTCCACCTGCTCCGCGCCTCAGACGCAGCGCATCTTCCAGGAGGCTGTGCGCAAGGGCAACACGCAGGAACTGCAGTCGCTACTG